TCCCCCCCCCCCCCCCCAAAAAAAAAAAAGGTTAAATAAAAGTAAAAATCGTTTTAAGTACATCAAAGTCCTTTGGTAAAAACACAAAGAAACCACCCGGACTCACAGTTACACAATATATTGCAAGAAAAATGAATTTGCTTTGAAACCATTAGCTTTACACAAATGCTCCACCTGCCCCCCAATCGCGCAATGCGTGTCCGTGTCAGGTTCTTTGTTGATTTATCAATGGCATGCTCATACTGTTCCTGAACAACAGAGGGGGAACTGCTGCCTTTTCTTTCGTCATCATTACTATCGTCATTTTCCCACTACTTCTTCTATATGTTTGTATTTGTCACTCTCTTGTGAACTGCTACATGTATTGCCTTGACAGTCGAAGCAGACTTTATGCTGTTGAGGCTATAGAGGTGAGCAGAGTACGCCTGATTCCCCGTTTGGACTCCTTTGTTGACCTCCACCCTTTGGCGCTCAAATGACCTTATGCTGTTGCGCAAGGGCAGTAAAACCTAACTAAAACTAACTGTTTTTCTGCGTCGCGTTTCGACACTGCTACGGTGTGGCATTGTCCTGATTTCTAGGTTCCTTTAATTCACACCGTCTAATCTTTCTGTTGCCCACTGCATACAATTCCCAAAATCAATTTTTCTAGTCCTGTAGAAATGAGCCTCACCGGTAAAGCAAACCGAGGAACATTCTCACCGTCTCATTTGTCTTAAAAACCCACGCACTCTTATTGTTTTTCTCTCCAAATATTTGCCTGAGATTATTCCTTGGTGGACAAAAAGGTGATAGCTTCATTTTCAAATTTTGCTTTAAGATTCTGGGAGTTGGGCTTGCGTATTTTCTAACACAAAAGGCCTTTTCCGGGTTACTCCAAGAGGTGGCTGATGCAGCGATACCCATATCTGACCAAATCAAACTTGAGCATAGACTATAGTGTCTGGAGGATCAAACATAATTCCTATCAAATTTGGAGCAGATCCGAACAAAATTGGGGGAGTTATTTATTAGGCTGACTGTTTTATCGTGGTCATCGGGTCTTGGACAGTAGATATACATGAACAGTAAAGTCCACGAATCTCGACGAACACGAAAATCACGAATTCTCGGGTATCTCGAACATAGTGCACGGCACGGTCCTGTTTCAGTCTCTATGTTTTCTTTGTATTGATTTCACGGAGTTCCCGAATACGCAACAATCGAATCTCGAAAAAATCCACTTCGCATTCTCAACTAGACCCTGCTATACAGCCTTTCTGACCGCGGGTAGCTGTTTCTTTGTTATTGTTACAGCAAAAACATGGTCGTTGTCTCACCACGAGAGGCGGGGGGAAGGAGGGTTGGGGAGTGATGCTGACAGCACCGCATGACTGGCTCGCCAGAAACATAGAACCAAAATATCGATACCACACCACTGACACTGTCCCAAGCATATCAAGTCTAAGTAGTATCCGAAACAATAAGCCTCCAACACGTGCGCATTGAATAAAGCAAGCACACAACAATTTTCAATCGCAATTCTGTCAAATATTAATTTTAGAACACAGAATCGGGCTGAGGTGAGAACGGAGAAGGGGAATAAAGGGAGGGTGGAGAGGCGGTGGGGTCCAGACTGACAGCTAAGTGCCGTTCGCTTGTCAGCCCTCGACTCTTATACAATGACTTATTGTCCGAATGACTGACCAAACCACCAAATCGCCGGGGGCCAGGTAAGGTTGCAGCAGGAAGTAAGCGGTGAACAGAACACCAAACAGAACCATGGGTGTTTCAAAATTCAATTAGCTATCAGTGGCGGTGGGTGGACCAAGATTTGGGTGGTGCTAAGGTTTCTTCCACTTCTTTACCACCATATAGCAAGCAATAAGAACAAAACTGTGATGATTCTTCTATACCCACGGCGAGTCACGTCATTTTGAGAACCATTCAAACGAGAAGAGTCACCTTTGTCTTCCACCTCTTTGTTCTTAGTTAAATTTAAGCTCTTCTGGGTGGTGGGGACGAAGCCGTTTCACCTCCAAATTTCTCTAATCAGTTTTTATCTGAAGAAAAAGATGCCTCGAAAGTGGCTTGATGTAATTAATAACTGTTAAATCTCAGCGGCACAAACACACAGCACTCCAAACACATACCGTCTATGAGGTGGATTGGGTCGTGTTGTTGCGGAAAATAGAACGCGCCTAACAAAGGCCCAATGGGCGCATAGGTATCTGTGTCACTGGGGGAAAGTGTGTCGTAAACTTGCACCCCATTGTCAGGGCTGGGAGAGCGTGAGCCCTCTGTGCAGTGCACAGAATTCTACAAGTGTAGAATTCTGTGGTGCAGTGTTATTTTTTAAGTCTTCTACCTTTTTACAAGAAGAGTTTCATTAAAGACGGGCGTGGAAACCGGCTTATTCTTCCTGAGCCCTAACGACATTTGATTGGCTGTTAGGTTACTATAGTTGTAAGCGGTAACAACAATGATTGGATAAACGGGCAAGCCGCCAAGCTGATAACTGTGTGTTCATTGCGTGCGGTCATAACGGTTTCAACTGCTTATTTCGTTATTTAAGAAACTTTCATTAACTAAGGGATATAGTTGGGGTGGGGAGGGGGTGGGGGTGAGGGGCTTAAGCCCGTAAGCCCTTCACTACCCACCTCCACTGTTAGCGATAAAGATTTGAATCATCATGACAGTATAATATGTACGTGAGAACTGAAAGTAACAAGAGACAGGTTTAATGGTGAATTTTAGTTTTGAAATTATAACTTGCACTTTTAAAGACAGTCTCCGTTCTTCGTAAGCAACAGAAGAGCCTAATTGGCAAGAAAGGTTCTTCATGCGGGCTCTGAGGGCAACTGCTCAATTCGCCGAGCTGGCTGACGTCACCGCTGAGCGCGATACGAAGGCGCGCATCGTGACAACACAGTTCGTAACAACAACGTTGTGAGCCAGCGAGATAAACTGAGGAGATTTGGGAACGAGTTTCTGTGGTGCGACAACACATCGGCGAGCCCTTATTGTCTCTTTATGCGCATTTCATAGTGAAAATGCTATTTTAATGTAGATAAATATTTTTTGGATTTATTTGAAACTGAATAAGAACTATTATCAGCAGCCAATCTCTTGTCCACTATAGTTGACTAACCGCCTCTGTATTCACCAATTCTGGTTCTAAAAATAAGTTATTCATAGTCTACCGCTGCCTTGCATGTATTCAAATTTTTGCAGTGAGAGCAAGATGTTAAGATCCGCCCAAGTGTCCCAGAAACTGCATTAATTTGTCTCCTGCATAATTGATTATTGCTTTTTGAATGAGTGGCCCGCTCGAGCTTTTTCAACACTTTCATTTCTTTCTTTTCTATCCGTTGAACTCCCTTAAGATTCTCGTGATTACTAAAAAACCCAAAAAACAAAACAAAACAAACAACAAAATCCCAAAACACACGCTTCTATAATTGCTTCTAGTTCATTTTCACTATACATATTTGGCAACTTAATTGCTGTCCAGTCTTTATAATAGTCGTAAGGGTTGACCCCTGCAAAGTGTTATACCTATTTTTCAGGATTGGATTATTTTCATTTACAGTCTGTAGAAATTGCAGTTTTTCGTTATATTTCGGAAAAACATTAGATTTGGGAATGGACCATAGAGTTATCTCCTTTTAAACCTTGTACATCTATGAATTGAACGCATAGAATTCATCGGCGAGTAATTGTTCGAATTTGCTTGATCTGTGGTAGCGGTTGCATGAGGTCAAGAAATATTTTTTCGAAATTCAAAAGTCTGAAAGTTGAAAAAGCGAGAAAAGGTATAGATTCTATAATATATTATTTTTATTAATGTCAGTAAATATACCTATTAAAAAAAATGAAATACTTTTTTTCTTTCCCCTAATTGAACAACTCTATATATAGGCTGAAGTTAGTTCGAGATTTAGTTCTAGTATTAATTATTAGATCTATCATGAAGTAGGCCTATAAGTAATCCGGTGAGACAAAAGCTATACTATAGTGATAACATAAGCAAGCTCTCGGGTGATCTCAGATATATGCAAACATTGACTTGATTTACTTCTAATAATAATATTAGCCAGTAGATCTATATAATACTTAGGTACAGCTTGGCTTATAATAAAAAAAAGTCTCATAATTGGGGTGTGTGAGTCAGTCAAGGTGAAAGCATGTCGGTGAGAGGAGAAGTCAAGGTCGTATGATGATTGTGAAAATAATAATTTTATTCCAACTACCGATTAGCTTGATACTTCGAGGATCAAAATCCCTGCTCAATGTATCAGTTTAGTAAGGAATCTCATTTTTTTTTCTACCGCAGTTCAACGTTGGGGTATATTACTAGAAACAAATACATGAACAGAAACCCGGACAATTGTTGAAGGTCAGCAACGATAACACAAAAAGAGGTTACAACAGTTAGTCTGCCGGATGTTGTACCTACTATCACCTATGCCCACAAACAGTGTGTGCGCAGGGTGCACTTGGCCTAGCCTAGTTTCGATTTTTACAGTGGACATGTTTTGTAATCACATGACATGATCACATGACAGACTATCAACAATTCAGTCAGACAGAGTTTGGTTGGCATTTGCCGGGTCAACCGTCAGTTTGCAGGCCGTTTATTGGACCCAAGCACAGCCTACCACAAGCGTAAGTGTCTTTGTTTAGTCGACCAATAAGCTAAACTGAGTTTTTTTTCATTGCACAGGGCCGATAATGCACCGATACTGAAGGTCTACATCAGTTAATGATTTATTTGGTGTCATTTATTGTGTTCACAAAGTAGGCCTAATGGCATGATAGACTCAACTTGGACTTGTGTTCATTGACACTGTTGTTGCAGTTGAGTCAGTGTTAGCGTTATCTGTCGGCGTGGTGATCTAATAAAATTGGTAGCGTCAATTGCCACCGAGTGACGCGGTGGCAATTGACAAAAATTGACTTTCTGTCAATTGCCACCGAGTGAAGCGGTGTCAAGTCTGAAAACAACACTATATCTTTAGCATTATATAAATTCATAATGTGTGTCTAAGACTAATCATCTAATGGGCCAATTTGTTCTCAACTAATTTCATTGGACGAGCATCTAGTCTAGAGCTACGGTACCAACTTGGCGTGTTTTCAATGAGACCGTGCTGTAGGCCTAGATCTAGGCTAGTCTTAGCCTACACTTTGGTGTAGAACCAACACAGGCAATTCTAGAAGTAGGTCACAAACGCACACAAACTCAAGCAGAAATTCACGTAATATCGGCCGGGGAACATAAATCGGGGGACGGGGGTCAGGAAAAGACACACACACACACACACACACACACACACACACACACACACACACACACACACACACACATACACACACACACACACACACACACACACACACACACACACACATACACACACACAGATGGACAGGCGAACGCACAACACCGAGCACTCGAGCACAATAACTAGATCTACCCACCAACGCAAAAGAGCTCCAATTTACTCCGTGGCAATTGACAAAAAGTCAATTTACTCGGTGGCAATTGACACTGACACTACCAATAAAATTTTCTCGACTCTCCTTTACGATTGATCTAGATCTTGTCTAGATCTAGATCTAGCCTAGTTGTAGTTCTAGTTCTACTGTCTCAACTAGATCTAGTTACTGGAGTAGTATGTTTTGTCGTTATAATTAGTTAATTAATAATCATCCAGAATCAGGATCTTAGAATCTAGAATCTAGTCATTTATTATATGAATTGAACTTGTTGAGCAGTATTGACTAGGCCATCTCTCAAGATCTTAACTACAGGCTGCTTGATTGGCTTGGCTATTACTTTTACACCTTTACTTTTGACTTCACTGTAAAATTTTTATTTAATTTGACACTTGACTTAAAAGTAATAAGACTTATATTAGGGCCTATTTATGGTCTGTACTGACTGGTGTCTGTCATTGATGGTAAAATGCTAATATTACGAAGTAGCTTGCCGTGCTTAAGTACTGTTAGCCTGCCATCATGTATTTAGGTTAGGCCCTACCGAAACCTCTTGAGTACACGTCTCATTAGTAATTATTCAGGTATTTAAATACCGAAATGATTTTTTCTCAGAACACTGCGAAAAATAAACTTGACCTATTTTTCCAAACGGTTTCCTTTTTTCGAGATTTGTTGGTTATTTGCGAGTGTTCTGCGTCATCTTTCATTCTTCCATTTGGGGGCTCTCGTGGCCTAGAGGTTAAGGTGTTGGCCTTTCATTCAAAGGTCCCGGGTTCGATTCCGGGTAGCGGCCAAAAAAATTTTCTTCTCTAAAATTGTCTCCTTTCACTTTCTTTCCTGATCTCTAACAATGTTCTGTTGTCTGCTTTCATTTCCACTTTCTGCCCCCACCCCCTCTCATCCTTTGCCCCATCCTCTGGGCTCCTGACTCTTTCTGCAGCCTTTCTACTGCTACTCCTTGGCTCCTCCTAACTGCTGTCTTTTAGCCACACCCCTGATCTTCTGGTAGGAAAGATCTACACCTAGCCTTCTCGGACAAGGGCGAAAAATCTCGGAGGGCCCGTGTGCAAGTGCGCACGTTAAAGATCCCTTGGTGGTCTAAAATCGATAAGAGTAGGCTTCGGCCGCCACCCGGGCAAAATTCAAAATTTCCTACCAACGAAAAAGTATTAGGTGTGTCCCGCGCGCTCATTTGACCTTATGCAGTTGCGAGCGCCGTAAAACCCTATACTAAACAAACAAACAATTCTTCCATTTTGCGAGGACTGGGAAGAATAAAGAAGCATTTTTGATCCCTCCACTGCCCCACGCTCTCCCCCCTCCGTTCACACCTTACACATACGCGGACCACACCATTCGCAAATAATAAAAAAATCTTGAGAATGGAAACCGTTCGGAGACATAAAGTTCAAGTTTATTTTCACGAGCGTTCGGAGAAATAGAGCCGGCCTTTTAAAACACATGCACTGTCAGTTAGGCACCATTTGGTATCATCTCAAATATAATACTAAATTGCAAACTAAAAATATCTTTACAATTCAGTAAGCCTATTTTTTGCTGTTTGTCTTTCTAGCCATCATTAAGTACGCCCAGGGGGCTCTCGTGGTCTAGAGGTTAAGGTGTTTGCCTCTCATTCAAAGGTCCCGCGTAAAATTTTCTTCTAAAAAACTGTCTCTTCTCACCTCCTTTCCTGCGCTCTAACAATATTCTGTTATCTGCTTTCGTCTCCACTTTTTGCTCCCACCCCCTCACCTCCTTCGCCCCCTCCTCTGGGCTCCTGACTCTTTTTTCAGCCTTTCCACTGCTTCTCCTTAGCTCCTTTCTACTGCTGTCTTTCAGCCACACCCCTGATCGTCTGGTAGGAAACCCCCTGGCACTACACATTAGTCATTTTGTTAGTCTCTGATTTGATTGATCGATGATGTGATTGCTTTATTCTCCCTGCAGATCACAATGATTTTACAGTGCCTCCTTGTGTCATTACTGACATGTCAAGTTGTTTATTCTTTGGACAACGGCCTTGCGCTTACCCCACCAATGGGTTGGCTGTCATGGGAAAGGTTTAGATGCAATGTTGACTGCAAGAATGATCCTGACAATTGTATCAGGTAGGAATAAATATTGCTTCATTCACCAATACTTTTTTTCTGTGGCTGTTTTTTAAGTTTCACTGTTTGGCTTTATTGACACAAGTGAGATATGTTAAACAAACAAACCTCACTTTTACCTGCAGTGAGTTCTGGATGGATAACAACAACAACCTGCAGTGAGTTTGGAATAACAGGCCTTGCCTACTAATTATATGGCCTCAAAAATGTTCCTCCTTGAATTTCCAAATGATGAAGGGCAGTAGTAGCAAAAATTATCCTAGTGAGTTTGATAATTTCAGTTACTGCCCCTTAATAAGCCCTCACATAAGATTTTCCTATGTAAGCCAAAGGCTATTTTCCCTGAAGTCTTAAACTTCTTTCATCTAGTAAAATCATTTTCACGCCATCGATGCAAGGAAATCCCATCCCCGCAATTATAAAGCAAGAAGAAAATTTTGCCATCAGCTCAAATTGACTGCTCAGTGTCAGATTCTTGTCATATGTCAGTCTTTGAAAAAGCAGTGGAAATGCAGAAAACAAATGTTAATGGGCTATTAAAAAGTCTTAAGCCTTTGACCACCTCCAGTTGGGATCTTAGAAGGGAATGGTAGTGTAATTCATTTTGATCAATCCTGCCTAAGATGGCTACCTGTCTAAGACGTCCACTTTTCTCCTCGACAATGGAGGCCCATCATAGATTTCACTGTTATATCTATATGCGCATAAACATGAACATGACATTTTTTTTTTGGTCCGCAGTGAACGTTTGTATATGAAAATGGCTGACTTAATGGTAACTGAGGGCTTCAAAGATGCTGGGTATGAGTATGTTAACATTGATGACTGCTGGCCTTCCATGGAGAGAGACAGTGAAGGTAGACTGGTGGCTGATCCTCTCAGGTTTCCAAGTGGAATCAAGGCACTGGCCCACTATGTAAGCTATCTCTTCTCTTTGTATTTTGGCTAGATATTATGTCAGTTTTTGTGCTGGCTCTATATAGCTTTCCCTTTTTTGTCTCTTTCATTTAAAGGGTTCCGTGATTAAATGAATGTTTTCATGATTTTTATTAATTTTGCATTAAAATGTCTTTGTCAAGAAAAAAGAAAGCTTGGCTCTTCAGACCTTGTTATCAGTAGCAGGATAGGCAAATTTTAGAATGTGTTGTTTTTAAGTAGGATTAACATAACCTGTGAACATAAACAACTGTTCCAGTTTTAGTGTGGCTTCAACTTCAAAACAAACACAAGTTTGTGTTGTCAGGAATATTTCATCTGGCTCCCCAAGAAGGAATTTTGAAGACAATGTCTATGACATCTCCAATGAGACTGTTGTGGTGTCTTGTGCTTCTTCTGTCACATATTGATAATTTATTGATTTTACAAACTCTAAGACATGAAGTTAAAAAAAAGTGAAAGATATACCACACTTTTTTTCCGACCTTGAGCATAATGTTAACCCGGCACTCCAGAGCAGACCCGACTATTATCCTTTTAGGCATCGAACGTGTGCCTCAGGGTGTGCTGAGGTAAATCTCTAGTAGTGGACTTAAGAGTGCTCAACCTGAGTCCTTGAAGCTCACAAACCAGGGTTGGTTAGTTTTTCTTGATAGAAGACCATTTGACTTTTTTTGTTTTTAGTATTATTTTTCTTAGTTCTTTTCTCATCTATTTCCCTGTTATGACATGTTGTTTGAGCCATTTCTGTCTTGTAGCACCACTAATACACCTTTCTCACACAGGTGCACTCAAAAGGCTTGAAGCTGGGCATTTACGAAGACTTCGGATCAAAGACCTGTGCTGGCTATCCTGGCAGTGAGTTCTACATGGAGACTGATGCCAAAACTTTTGCCTCGTGGGATGTCGATATGGTGAAATTTGATGGATGCAATTCTGACCCAAAGGACATGCCATATGGTGAGGTGTTCATGCAGAATACTTTTTTTGCTCGCTTCATTTTGCTTCTTTTCAACAGCCTCATGCCTATCTTTAAATATAACGTGATGCTTCCATGAAGAACATAGAGAATCATTTTCCTAAATTCTTTTACTTTTGGGGAAATTTTACTATTGAAGACACTCGTTTTAATAAGTACAGTAGTCTCCGCCTAAGATCCCACCGCTTACGGTCCCGGTTCGCTTAAGATCCCGCTGTTTTAAGAAAACAGAATTATTACTATATAAAAGGGGGTGGGGGGGGGGGGGCTCGGTCAGAGATGGAAAGCTATAAATTTTCGACAGGTAAGGGGGAGGGGCAACTGGATACGCGTAGATCTTGAGACTCATGATAGGATAAAAAGTGAAAATGGCATGCCTCATCCCACTATGCACTGTGATAGTTCACCAAGGTTAACCTCTCTTTGCTTGCCATACGTCATAAACCCACCAAGCGGTCATGTTAGTTCATTTTAGAGTGGAGGGAGACCATTGTACCTATTGTGAGCCTTAGCATGGGTCACCATAGATTCTTCCCTGGGTTCGTCGGTTAAGATCCCGGTTCGCCTAAGATCCTGCATTTCCTTGCTCCCGAGCACCGGGATCTTAGGCGGAGACTACTGTAATCCAAAGACAGCTTCGTGTCGGCACAGTTGGGGTAAACATTGTTGTTAAGGAAAGTTATGGTATGGGTACTAAATTAAATCATGTTTTGTTGTTGTATGTGAGAAGAAAGGAAAACTGATGGATATAACAGGTACGTTATGCATTAGATCTTTTTAACTGTGTCTACCTGATTGTGCTGTATGTTATAATTATAATAATTAAAAATAATTGTTTTGTATCAATGCAAAGGGTATCCTGTGATGGAGTTTTTCATGAATAAGACTGGTCATCCCATGGTCTACTCCTGTGAATGGCCGTTGTATGAGTATTCTCACAAGCTTCCTCCGGTTTGTGGGCATGTGGCCTCTGTGGTCATAATTTTGTTGTAGTCAGTGTATGTGTCAGCTATGCTGAAGGAAAATATAAAGGGAAGTAAGAGTAAAATTATGGTATTGGGGGGCAAGGCGTTTGGAGGGGACTTATGGTTTTTGCCTCTGTCTATACTTATGTTTCCTGCTGTATTTTGAAGAACGTTTTACTAAAGTGATTTGCTAAAGACAAGCCTTCAGTTCATCACATGCTTGGTCTTTGCCATTCACGTTTGTCCAAATCTGGTATATATTCTGGCTGTACAGTAGGGAAGTTTAGTATCTCCCGGTTGTTGGTTGACGGGTGTTCTGGTGTGGTTTGATTCTTCTTTCCTATCAAACATCTATCGTCTTTATCTCCCCTCCTTTTTTGTGTTTGTTACTCTCTTGTAACTAGAGTTGGGGCGAGCGGACGGACGGGTTCGTTACTTGCGGATTCAGTCAGAGCGAGCGGGTAACGGACCGCCATGAGAGCGAACTACGAACCTCAAGACAGTTCGTTTTTTGGGTCCGCTCCACAATTTTATTCACTGGACGGGCGGGCAAACGGGCGAATTCTAGCAGACGAGATACTCGACGCGAGGTTATGCCCACTGTCTATTGTTTGTTAATTAGGCCTAATGTTTCAAGCCACTAGCGGTGCCACAGGGAGTGAGAGAGGCTGGTGACGTAGTACTATGTGTGTAACCTTTCACCTTGTGTGTGGGCACACTGTGTACGTTCCAATTATCGCAAAGGCTGGGAGTGGGGGCGGGGGGGATTTCCGCCATGAACGCCTAGCTACAATGTGAGGCAGGAGAGTGATTTTTTAATTATTTTTTTTTTGGGGGGAGGCGGGGGGGTTGTAAGTTGTATGCAATGGAAGGAGTCGCTCCCGTCCATCCGCCCATCGCTAAACGAACTGTTGTCTCTGTCCGATGTGTAGGGAGTAGCGAACTTCTCTTCACAAACAGACGTTTCGTTACCCGTCCGCTTGTTTGCGGGTAGTGCCAGCGAGTAGTTCGATACTCGCTGATGCTAATTTTGCGAGCCCGACCCAACACTACTTGTAACACCTCAAATCTTTGGCACCTATATGAACTTATTGTGTTGCAAGTGCCGTAAAAGACTTACTAAAACAAAACTAACAACAGTATCTCCAGCTGGCTGTCACCGCCTAACTGGCATGGAGCTAATATTTCATGATACTTATATTTTATGGAAAGGCAAGATAAACAATTCTTCCAAAAATATTAATTTTGTTTGTCAGCTATTGTTTTATTTATTCTGGATATGGATCTGTAAATTCGACTAGACAGTGACCATCTCTTTTCTACTTCACTGTGGAATCATGTGATGGTATAATAATCTAAATGTTCCAGATATTGAGTTAAAAAGCGACTTGTGTAAAACGGATATTACTGTTGATTTGTCCATATGACCAATTGTATCTTTGAAAATGAGGTACAGACTGTTTCAGAGCAGGATAAGCATGGTCTTTTTTGTTTATAAGCTTGTCAAAGTTTCTTTCTCTGTCGTGTTCAATCAGGAGATCATGTGTTGCAAAATGCCACTTGAAAGTCACCTTTTTGAGTCATGAATGAAACACAAACTAACGTGTCTTTACATTACTTTCTCCACACAATTCAGGTTACCCCATTATGGAACATTTCCTTAATGTGACTGGAAGGCCGATTACATACCTTTGCCAGTGGCCTCTTTACATGTGGGGTTCTGGTTTAAAGGTGCATTAATTACAAATCTGAATAATGCTAAGTGCCCAAATCATATTTGTCTCTTACTAAGACTGAAGCAAGATTATGTAAAAGACTACCAACATTCATCCGTAAAAAACAGTTATGGTTATAATAAGTAATCTAATAACAATTTAAAAGAATTTTTGGACTGTCTGTCTGGACACCTTGTGCGTGTATTTACAAAGTCATGACTAGAACAATGACATGGCTATGGTTTCTATTTTGTATGAAGTGTGACTGCAAATGCTTAGCTTGCCCCTACTTATCTTCCCATCATGATCTGTTTACCTGTACTTTCTTTTTATTGCGAGTGGACTTGACGAGGGATTGTTTCTTCTGTACAAGGAATTCTCTTGACCTCCATGTAGATCTGATGAATCAGGTCCATGGGTTACACATTTCATTTCTCTTGTCGAATCTTTTTGACTGATGCTCAGCATCATTCGAATTATATATTGTTGGAATATTTTCTTAAACCACTTCTCTAGCAAGGCCCTGCTCAAACAGCCACTCTGTATCATTTAAATCCATAGAAGCAACATTGTCTCAAACCTCCAGCTCAATCTCATTTCTGGAATGATGGTCAAACTCTTATAATGGGAACATTTATATGAGTACCACTGCCTCCTTTCGTGAAATTATCACCTTAGTTCAGGTTGTAATTCTTGCTATTGTATTAGATGTGCCCTCTTGAAATATACCTCCTTTTCACTAAAATCATCTGTAACATATTATTCTGAACCAGAACAAAAATCACGGATACTGAATCTGAAAGAGGTGTACAGATTTCTGCGAGTCAAGAACAATGGATCTTAATTAACCTCAGAATTATTGTTATCCTTGTTTTTCGCTCTTCAAAAACTTGTAAGAATCTGAAAAACTTGTCATGGGTCATGCAGCAATAAAGCATCTACCATTAGCAGCTGTTGGGAGTTAAACATTCATTTAAATCATCTTATAAAATTCCATAACTTAAAAAAAAAAATGTTCTCTGTTCATGACAACTTAAGTCTTATATATATATATGATGTATACCACAACTGCTCAAAGCACTACCTAAGGTTTTTTTTTGTAAGTGTTTTACGGTGCTCACAACTGCATGAGGTCATATTAGTACGCATGACACATTAAACATTTTCAGTTGGCAGGAAATTTCGAATTTTTCCCAGGGGGTGGCCGAAGCCTACTCTTATCGATTTTAGACCACCAAGGGATCTTTAATGTTTGCAACTTGCACACGGGACCTCTGAGATTTTTCGCCCTTTTCAGAGAAGGCTAGGTGTAGATCTTTCCTACCATAAGATCAGGGGTGTGGCTAAAAGACAGCAGTAAGATGGAGCCAAGGAGTAGCAGTAGAAAGGCTGCAGAAAGAGTCAGGATCCCAAAGAAGGGGGCAAAGGAGGTTAGGGAGGGGGTAGGTGCAGAAAGTTGAGACGGAAGCAGAGGACAGAGCATTGTTAGAGAGCAGGAAAAGAGGTGAAAGGAGACAATTTTAGAGAAGAAAGCTTTTCCGTCGCTACCTGAATTCGAACCCGGGACCTTTGAATGAGAGGCGAACACCTTAACCTCTAGGCCATGAGAGAGCCCACGTCTAAGTTTATTCATTTTACTATATATATACTGAAACTCATTTAGAATTTCTAATGCTCCTAAAAGCAGGCCAACTGATTAAAAGACTATTTTTGAGTTGGGAACACTAATGAGACTGAAAAAAACCTCCCAAGTGGATGAAATGTTGATGCAGATACTACATTTTTGTTCATTTTTCGAGGCATTTATTATTTTGACTGCAGGGAATTTCTAAGCTGCCCTGTTCGTGAGAGTGTTTCTGCTTATGCTTAGCTTGACTAAATGTACATTCTCATCTTAGAGCTCTTTGCTATTGATGGAAATGTTCATTTATGTTATATCAATTAGTTATAAAGGTGTGTGGCTTTCCCTGCATCTGCTTTGATTGTGACTTTAAGTCATGATATCCCTCTCTGAATCTTCAACAGTAAACCCAGCTGTTATTAATGATTGAGCCACAAAATACCGGTGAACCTCATGCGTGATGGGTGGAGGTTCTTGTTTCGTCGACTCTCTCTTTTTGGTTGTCAGAGTGAGAGTGTTATTATTGTATTATTGTTATCTATTTATTGGCAAAAAACATAGGTGTTCTCATGCACACTGGGTGTAATTTACAACTTTGCAATATTTCTGCACAATTTAGGTTATCCTGTTATGGAACATTTCCTCAATATGACGGGAAGGCCAATATTGTTCCTTTGTCAGTGGCCTGGTTACCTTGTTGGAAAGGGTGTAAAGGTGTATTGAGTATACATTTATTTGCATGATACAAAGCCTTCATCTTTACTGATGGAGTACAGCCACTGTGGCTGTAACATTTTTCTGCTCCCTTTTGCTGTTTTTGCACTTTTTGTTTTTTAACTAATCATCTGCATCTATGATGATTGAAAATGCTAATGAATGATTAAGGTTGACCAGTTCTTTGTTTGTTGGTAGACCAACTGTCCTTTAGCCTGTGCCTATGGAGCCGATGGCATGTAGAATGTTGCAGTGTTTATGTGTGGTTCTTGTCTTTTGTGGTTATTGAAAGTTTTGAAACAGCAGTCCAGTCATTGTGTAGACTTCAGGGTTGAATGTTCTTGCAGTTTCTTTCTTTTGAGGTTTTGATCTTTCTTTTATTCAATAGATTTTTGACTGACAGCTTAAAGAGCATTCTCACAATCCTCCTTTGGTTAGTAACTGGATTCAAGAGCCATTAAATGTTTTGAGCTTTTCTTGTGCCACCTTATATGAAAAAGACATTGTTATGTTTTATGAAGACCATACATTTTACCTAGACTTGGATCATTTTCTTAGTGTAATGGGAAAGTGGATTCTGTACCTCTACCATTGGCCAGTTTACATGTCATTTCATTGTATAAAAGTGCTCTCACCATGTGTCACTTTCCATGAAATAAAACAATTGAATTTTTAGAGAAATTTGTTGACATAGTGGTCAACTGGCTATAGCGCCATCTGTTTTTAGATCTCCGATCTCCCAAAGATTTTGGGGATCCTTTGGTGATTATTGAAGGACTTTCAAGTCACCTGTAAGTACGTAAACAATGGTTGACCATGGTGATATTATATCATCTCAATTGTGACTGTTACTCGTTCCCTCTCCCTTGCTATTTCTCCATTGGTATTCAGGCTTATGCTGCTATTTGTTTTCTTTTTGTGCGCCCTTCAGGTTACCCTGCTATGGAACATTTTCTGAATATGACAGGAAGATCGATTCTTTTCCTTTGCCAGTGGCCGGTTTATATGTCATATGCTGGTTTGAAGGTTCTTTCATTGCAAATCGATCCTCATGATACATAAGTTGTTTGCTTAGGTTTCAGGTTTTTAAAAGAGTAGATTTGGTAATATAATGGTCTTTTCTTTTATTATAGCCACATTTTGGTTTGAAATCTTAGACTTCCCTTTAATTTTGGTTTATAGCTTACAGTTACCCATTATTCATGGAAAATTAGCTCCCATGTTAAGGACAGATTCTAATGAAATTATCTATCAGTTGCTGCTCAGTGACCCTTTTTTATTTTTTTTTGATGCCGTGCCTTGTTTCAATTCTTCTGTGCTTGTGATGGGTCATTTTTCTTCGTTTGATGTCTGTGTTTTAGAAAGATCTACCTTTTCTTTTTAATACTGGGTCAGTTTGGAGAGAAAATGGAGAGTTGTTGAGTTGTTTTTTATTTGATCTAGCATTACCTACCATACATGTTTTATCTTTATTATTTTTCTTTTAGTATGTTAACTATATTAATCATATCAGATTCTTTTTTTTGAAAGCGATATAGATGAGACACAACTTGAGCAGACAGCTTTTGAAAGATACAACTCAGACAATATTACTGAAGTTATGTTAGCTCAGTAGGGTAAGAAACTTGACTAACACCTGGACTTCTTGAAGAGACTGCTTTTTATGTGTAGCTTGGTTTAAGGGTTAATAACTGTTATATCGGGAATCCTCAGTTAGGCCTACATGTTCATACACAACAGCATTTTTGGCTGGTGGCTCTCCTTTGGCAACCAGGCTTCAACTTCAACAGCTGTCCTCTTTCCCTTAACCGTAGCATTGACCTATCACATGCCAAGCCAGATATGCCTTGCTTCGTGATAAGGGGGTAAAACTTTATAATGATTAATCTGTTGATTAATGGGACTGGAAAAATTGATCTCTCCGCCGTTTTAACAGCCTGAGCTGATTTATTGAGAACATCTGTAGGTTCAAGCCGAATATGATTAATTTGTGAGGAGAATGACCTCTGTTTCAACAATACTTATAGACTCAGACAGTGGGATTTTTGTTTATGATTGATGTAAGATAAATGTTGACTTTGGTTTCATAAACTATTTGCTCTCTTTGAACATTTGTTTTCACAGTGTCTGAGAAAGGTCCCTGTCCTGTTTACATAAACTTGTTTGAGGTTGAAAGGTACTTATTTCGATCCTTGCCGCACTACAGTCCGCTACTATTTACTAAAAACTGAAAGTCTGGCAGAATTGCCCCAGGTTCATCCTGTTCACTCTTTTTCCTCTCCACCATTTGTCTTTCAGTTTTCATTGGTCTTTATCATTTTGTTGTTGCCTGTCCTTTTGATTGTAAGGACATCTATGTTTAGTGTATCCCTTCTGAGAATCCACCATTGAGATTGGCTATTTTTTTTTTTTAGGAAAGTTGATTTATGTGTGTATCAAGGAGGAGACAGTTCATAGGCTCTCTGGTATATATTTTTATTGTTTAGTTACTGTTGTCTTTTGTTTTTAGTGAAATGTTCCTGGGATGTCTTGCTTGAATGGCAACTTTGCGTAATAGTGGAAAGTGTAGGCTGTCTTTTGAATATGAATATGTCTTTTGTTGATGTATTCACCAAGTGATGAAAACTCCAGACATTGTGTTATGCCATTGAGAAGATTTCTGTTTCTTTCTTTTCTGCTATTCTTGTCAATTGAATTGTATTGCTTAAAGTGTTTTTACTTATCACTTTTGTGGTTGATGGGCGCTTTGACCTGATCTTTTCTCATCCTTTTCCTTTTGTTTATTTGGTATCGCTCATCTCATTAAAGCTACAGAACAGTGACTGGCTGTAAATTTTATATATCAACAACTTTCACCATGCCAGCTTAGATAGTGACTCATTAAGTGCTCACTGCGCTCACACACTGTTGCCAGGACCAGCCATGAATGGACTGAGGGCTAAAAGTTCATAGTTTGGTTGTGTAGTGTTGGGTTTTTAAAGGTTGCAAGAGTTTGTGCAAATAAGATTTTTGTTGGCATATTGTTTGACACGTACCCTGACTACATCAGGACTATATCATTTTGAAAAAAATATTAAATGTAAGAAAAATAATATTATTTATATTTTAAAAAATCACCTATTATTTTATTAGAATCTATCGTAACTTGTAGATGAAAAGGTTCTGAGAAACACTTTTGGGTAATGGATTTTAAAAAGTAAATTTGGACTCATTTATAACATTTTTAGCCTTTTCTTAATGTCATGTGACATTGGTATAGATGCATTCTTAAGCATTGTTTTAACTCACATCAGTTGCATTTCCAGTTTGTGCTATTTTATACAACATCTACATACGTTTTCAGTTAGATGTGATGACATTTGCTGTTTTGGACGAAGTTTTACTTAATTTCAACTGAGTTCCTGAACAAGTCATATTGTTATTATCAATTTCACTTGAAAAACTATTATTATTTATAAAGTAGTAGAAAACTTATAGGTCTGTGAACAAATTTGTGGATTACTGATTCCTTTGTTGGGAGGAGGGCAGAAGTGTTGGATAAAATAATGAAATTCATTGAATAAGGCAAAATAACCATTATACTCAGTCTCTGTTTTCCAAAATAACTTTCTGTTTTTAGAACTGGAAACTTGAAAGACCCGGGTAGCTGTAAGTGAGATTGCTCAAATTGAACCTTTCTTTGGTGTCAGAGAGCACTGGGCTTACAAGCAAAAAAAGAGTAGACTTTTTGGTTATAACTTTTCAATGCTATGTGGAGATTTGTTTGTACTACCTTGTTAAGGGTGAGGTGAAACATTATATTCTGTAAATACTTAAAACAGATCAGTAAATATTCAAAAAAAATATTGTCTAAACAAGAAGATTAGTTTCCAATGATGGCTGACATGACAGGTAAGTGCAGTTAAGATCCAATAGATGGCTTCAGATTACACACAGGGTTTGTGAATTTGTACAGTTGTCGGCGTATAAATTGAAACATAAAAGAATTTACCTTGGTCTATTTCAGATTTGATTTTTTAAAACGACTGATGTTAGAGTACGATAAATGCTGATTGGAATTGCCTCTTGAAGCTCTTCATGATTTTTATGGGCTTTTTTTTGTGGAACATTCACATGTTAGTTTGTGACTTTCAGAGATGCCATATATTTACAATGCATCTCCCAAAAATGGACGAATGTTCCATTCTTTTCTGTCTTTGCTATTGTTGTTGAATCAGTGTCCGAGGAAGTCTGGTTTATACTTTTTTGAAGTTCTTTTACCACGTTTCTGGTCTTTTAGAATTAAAGTTCCGCTTTTTCTATTGATATCCTCAGTTTGCTCTTTGTTTCGTTTTCTTTTCATCATGGATGTCATGGACTTGAAGAGAGCAGATCCTTGTTGCTCTTCATCTGTGTGTTGGCATTTTGAGTGTCCCAGTCTTTATTTTTTGTAGTGCTTGTCTCCTGATTACTTTGTTGATTTTGTTAGACATGCAGCAGTTGTGTTAGGGATTTTCAGCTTAGGACTGTACGTTGAAAGGTCTCAAACCAAATATTTATTTTCTTGAAAAGCATGTTTTTATTTTGACCACTTATATAGTGACTTCAGTAGATAAAACTTTGTTTTGTTTTATTTGACTTGAATTTCTTTTTTTGTAATATTATTACACAAGTTTTCATTATTCAAAATAGTTTTATAATTCCATTTATGTTGACACTATGGGCTGGATGAGAAGAATGCCATCATATTGTTTTTGTACTGTGATTGTTTGAGCTCAAGTTCAAGACTTCTTGAGTTTTTAAATATTTTTTCATTTGGTTCAATTTAGTAATTATATTTTCCCCTTAGAACCCCCATAGCGCTCCGTGCTCCATTGCTTTTCTTTTTAGCTTAATGTCAAAACCAAATGCTTGGCCGTGTATTCTTGCAATTGCTTAATAGCTTTTCAAAAAGCAGTGCTTATGGTTTTTGTTTTCTGCTTCTTTTTTTCATCCCATACGTTAACTTTTTGTGCCACTCTTGGTATCAAAGTTTTGTTCAAAGGCATTGAGTTATCAGACAATTCACAAGCATTAGGCTCAAGAAATTTATCATAAATAATGCATGACAATAAAGTTTGTAAAGTAAAAATTGCTCAAAGTAAATAATCAAACCGATAAAAATCGAATGCCTATAGAAAGAAAAGATAAAAGCTCAAGAAAAGTATGTTAGTATTCATGATAATGATAAATTCATTTTGAAACATTTTAAACCAATCATTTTTGTTGGTTCTGAAGTTGTAAAAGTAATTTGCTTGATAAAGTTTACCTTATCAAAGTTTAAAACCTGAAATTGACATTGGCTTATTTATTCTGTTTGTAGAGCACATTTTAGAATTTTTTTTTTTATATCAATGAACAAATTTTCACTTTTTTCTATTTCATTAATAACACACCGCAAATTTACGTCAATATTTACTTGATATTAATAATATTATAAGTCTAAAGTTTGGAAATTTTTGCTCAATGAGAATAGTAGCTGTAGTCTTAGTTGATTTACAGTCTTAATGAAGCATGTAGCTAAGACATGGTATTTAGAATACTAACTTTTGCTTCAGGGCAGATTGGGCATGTTAACTTCATCCAGCCATTCAATGTTGTAACAAAGCGTATATATAGTGTGTAGATATACAGGGTTTCACACAAAAATGTACCTTAATATTACACCATGAAATTGTGGTATAGTTCGAACAACTTCACTCTTTCCCAACTGCACTTCATTCAGAGGAACTTTGATAAATAAATTTGTTTAATTTCATTTTTTCACTTCTTTTTTCATGGCATAGTATTGTGGCTGTGGTCTCAAAATAAATAAAAGCCCAGTGCTTTGTCTCATTGTAGTAAACAGGGATGTTTGGAGTCCAAAAAGATCACATTAACCACCAGTGTTTTAGAAGGTTTGTCAGACATGTCTTAAACAACAAAAAAAGCAAATTTTTTGGACACTTTCCCCAATTCAGGTTCCAATGGGAACGCAGTTATGGTTCTGAAATTATTTTAGAAAAAGCTGAAAAAAATTAAGATACGTTCGTCTTTTAAAATTTAAGAAAGACAACATTAATTGTGAAAAGATTGGAGTGACATCCCCTACCAAGTTGGATCCGGGACAAGATTGGTACCTTGTGGAAGTCAATAAATACTCTCCCATCTTTGGCACATGTGGGAGACCAAAATATCCCATGAAAGTAAGACACTTCTACTCCTTGTTCCATTCTTTGAATTCTGCAGATTTACTTTTTATTTTAGACAAAAGCTATGTTTGTACGATACAGTGTCTACATTTTCTTAGGGAGGGAATATATATTATATAGTTCTTCTCTGTGAGAATTGTGGACAATTCTAACCGATCTGACAACATAATCTGGTTCCTAGTGTCATGATGTCGGGAGTAAAACCTACCTAAGTTCCCTGGAAATGTGGTGTTTGGGCTTCTCTCTGGCTCATCATCTCAGTGCATTGTCTGATTGTTATTTTTTCATGACAGAGTACAGAAAGAGGAGAGCCACTAAAGGGAGTTGGAAGTTGAAAAACTGAACTTAAACTGTGGTGCATACTCTTTGTTTGTCTCAGTGGCTGTAACAAGATTGAGCCAATGCAGCACACATGATAAAATAATTTGCTGGCCTGGGTCCGGGATAGGTTTAGATTTCCTTTGGTTTGTTAGTATCCAAGGTTAGACTGAACTCCAGATCTCAACCGACTTGATTTTTTAAAATGGGGGACAGGGTACCTCAAAGATAGAGACAAAGTGCAAACTATGGCACCCTTAGGATTATGCCTCTGAAATAATCTTGAAACAAGGTAGGGTAAAAAATAGGAAACTTTCCTGGATATGTTGGAGCAGGAGACTAACATCATCAATGTTGACACAAGTAAACATTTCATTAAGAACTTCAAGGTGGGACTTAACTTGTTTGCAATTAATGGAACTGAAAACACTTGGAGAACACGCATTATTATTACTCCCCTGAAATCTCCTTGAGAAATTGTGTGAATTGGTTGGGTCTTTTTTTTTTATTCCTAGAGAAATATTAAAATTGTATTGGAAATATTAGATTTACATTTTTTGCCTTTTTTCCAACGTTTTTATGTTTCTTGAGTGGAGTTGTTCAAATTTGAAATGATGTGCCATTTGGTGTTGTTGCATTTCACGGTTTAGGCAGAAATACTTCGGCTTAGAGGGCTTTGACATTTTTGAAGTGAAACCCTGTAACTAATTAATTTGTACTGTTTTTAAACGTTAGAACTTGAAAATATTAACTGCATCTAGTGAGATTTAGTAAAATTTGAAGTTAAGATGAAGAATTTCTTCAATATTACTTTTTTTTTGTGGTCAGAATTTTTTAAAATACTGATTTAGGGCTACGTGAACAAAGACTCTACAATGATTATGGTACCAAAAGCTACTTTTAATTGAGCGTGATGACAAAATGATAGTAACGTTAGATATGTTACCACCCCCCCACCACCCTTTCCATGTGGTGCTGAAAACAGCCGGATTACGCCGCTGTTCGTCGCAATTGTAACCAGTGGCGCAACTATAGGGACGTGCAGGATAGCTGGGAGTCCGTATCTGGCATCATAGATTTCTATGGGAAAGATGAGGGCGGATTTGCTCAATATGCTGGACCAGGAGGATGGAATGATCCAGACATGGTGAGTTTCAGGTGTCGAACAGGACTGCTGCTTTTCCAGAAATATTATAGTCAAACTTGTCTAAGATGGCAACCCATTGTCGAGAAGAAAAGTGGTTTTTTAGACAGGTGGACATCTTACACAGTGTCATAATGTAAAGAGACACTGGGATGAGGGGTGTAGTGGCTGTTTGTATTGGTTGGTGATTGTCTCGTTCAGTTGGCCGTTAGTAGAGCAGGTTCGACCGTGCGTGGAAAAGATTACAAAGGGTTCCATATTGTTATTTATGGTATGACTATTGTTGCCCTGAAGAGTCTGTCAGGGTTGACAAAAACTCACAAACTTTTATATTTTCATTTGGTGTCGACATTTTTTGCCCACAGTCCTTTTGCGATATCTGGATATGAAGGAGAGGATATGAATTATGATGTTGTCTTTTATGTTCACCTTATTCCCTGCAACATTTTGGCTCTTGGTATCTGTTGATCAAACTGGTACTGGGTGTTTCTGGTCAGAGTTTTACGTCAGCTGTGAATATCAAGATTGGGAAATTTGAAGTCTTCGAAAAGTTTCTTTGAAATTGAAATCATGTGTTTGATTTCTTTCATTCTGGTGTCTTTCTAACTATGCCTGTAATTTCGTCTGTTCACATTGTATGATGGGATGGTTGGGCTCTAAATAGATCAGTTCCTAAACAAATTCAGAATAAAATTATCGATGCGTTCTGTATTTTTGTACAATTTCAATATTTTGTTGTCTAAAGCCACTTGTAGGTCCTTCTTTTGTTTCTGTCCTTAGTCTGTCATTCTCAGCTATAGCGTAGTGAATTTTCACTTTGATGTCTTCTTTTTTTTCTCAGTGTCAAACTTAACATTTTTATTTGGTACACTTCTGACATCTTTGTTTGTTGAGTTCTGTTGTTTGGGTTAGCTGCAAATGATCTGTTTTGTGTTGATGGAGCCATAAAAATTTACAGTCACATCAGATCTTTGTGATTAAACTGAAACCTGTGATGGTTTGAGGAAGACAAGTTACAGAAGGTAAGTTGTCTATGATTTGTTCAGGAATTTTAAGTCTCCCATGGGACTTATTGTTTCTAAAAACAGCATTAAAATTGCATTGTTCATCTTACAAAGCACAACTGAGCTGCTATGGAACTCCTAAAAGAACAGCAAGTGTCATCGCATAGTAGGGTTAAAAACCCCCCAACAACCTTACTTCTCCTTTTCGAGAGTTCTGTGTGATGACGCTTGTTTTGGGGAAATATTCCTCCCAAGTGAATCTGTTTCCCATGTTGTTTGTGTAGTCTAACTACGCCCTCATTGCCAAGTCCTGCAACTTGTGGAGGAACTTTGGGGATGTGACTGATTCTTGGCCAAGCGTCCTCGGCATTGTCGATTATTATGGCAATAACCATGGTAATTTCAGCTATTTTGCTAAACCTGGAGCCTGGAATGACCCTGATATGGTGAGAGTTATGAAATGGTGATTTCTGTTGAAACCATGATCTACAATATGTAAATTTTATGTTTTGTCGAATGTTTTGGTGGAATTTGTTCTTGGCAAAGTATGACTTGTTATTTGTGCTCACTTTCAGCTACCTTAATGAAATCTTGAATCTCAGATTCTTGGGAAATTAGTTTTACTTCTGTAATTTATTTACTTGTTTGGAACATACGCCCAAGCGCAAACACAGAGACACTCATGCTGGTGTATATGCAGGCAGTGTCGCAATCTAATAATGCCAAATGACTTTCGATTAATTTATTTGCTATTTTTTCTATCTATGGAGACTGGTTTCTCCTAGTCCTACCTTGTTTGTGATTTAACTGTCTTGGAAATATGTCGCTATTTGCTTTGTTGCTCTCACATAAGGTATGTTATAAAGGGTATGTTGTTTATTTTGTATTCATTATTTTCTTTTATGGTATATAATAATTGAAAATTTAGATTTATTTGGTGGGTGATTGGCGGGGTCTCTTGTGTGGTTGGCTCCTTCTTTCCTATCAAACATCTATCGTCCTTATCTCCCCTCCTATTTTGTGTTTGTTACTCTCTTGTAACACCTGTAATCTTTGGCGCTGACATGACTTATTTGTGTTGCAAGTTCCATATAACCTTGTACTAAAACTAAATTTAAAAAAAATCCTTTCAGTCTGTCTTCCTTTTTGCACACACTAAATGACCACTATTGTGCTGACAAGTTTTTGTTTAGTTATCCAAACAAACAAACTTGAAAATGAAAATATAATTAATTCGTCCTTTCTTTAATTATTTCCCATCCCTTTGCCTGCTTGTAGTTAGTAGTGGGTGACTTTGGCCTGAGCTACTATCAGCAACAGGCTCAGTTTGGCATGTGGGCTCTGTTTGCTGCTCCGCTCATGATGTCCGTTGACCTCAGAAGTGTGACTCCTGAGGCCAAGGCGATTCTCCTCAACAAGAACATCATTGCCATCAACCAGGACCCCCTGGGCAACCAGGCTGTTCGGCTCTTTGAGGTTGGTACTTCTTTGTTTTCTCATTCTCGAAATAAGTTGTGGTATGATGAATCAACACTTCTCTCGTGACTCTCATGTGAGTGTTACATATTCCTGTATTCTCCATTCATCCGGACAAAAGTTTCCTAAATGGTGAAGTGCTTCCATTTATGATACTCTGCAATTCTTCTAACGCTCTTTGAACTGTGGGATAGAAATTTTATGTCCCTGCATTTTGATATTCAAGTTTGTCTACAAATTACAGCCAGTCGATAGAAAAATAGAGTCTGCAAAAATGGCTTGATCACCATGAGGAAAATGGTAGGGAAATAAGTGATACATATATATAAGTCTATAAATTTTGATTTTTGTTTAATTAAAGTGTACATGCATTATTCCAAATGGTTGGTGTATAAGTTTTGAATTGTCATTTTGTTTTTCCTGGTAAAAAACAAACAAACCTTTCAGTCTGCTTTGCAGAGCTTCGGCTGTAAGCATTTCCCTGGTTTTTTAAATATGTGACATTTTATTGGGGTTTTATGGACAAATATTCTTCAGTTTATGTTGTTGTAGCTAAGAACCTCTGCATACTGAACAGTTCAGAAAGATCATGGGCGTTTCAAGAGTTGCCTTTTCCCTATCATCAGTTGCTATGCGTGAGTCTGGATTGTTTTTTTTTTTCCCTTTATAATTACATTGTACTGTTGTGAAAACGTCCTTCTTGCAGCCTCTGGGATAAGGAGTATTCCAAGACGGATAAAACAATCTGTGGCTAATCTATTGCACAAATGATTTTGATAGATCTGTAATCCACCGCATGTTTTTTTTCTCCATACTTATACTATACTGCCTTTTAGCCATATATGGCCACTAGCTGCCTTTGTGCCTTTAGTACAACTTCGAGCTTAAGGCTTACACTATCATGTATTACTTTTGATTGCCACTACAATTAAGACTAATTGTCTAGTCTTGCTGTCACTCCATCTTTGTTCCAAATAAAATATAATTGATAAATTCCACTGTATTGATCCTCTCAAGGCATACATAAAGACACAAATACATAATACATAAATGCATGAATAATACACACTATCACAAATATAAAATGGCATCTGCAGTGTAGCTGTTAGGCGATTCACTGTTGCACTCAGAGAACCTGAGTTTAATTCCTTGGAGAAATTTTTATAAAGTATCTCAGTCTTTATGCCGGGATGTTGGACCTCTGTCAGCCTTGGTCTAAGTCTAAGCCCACGCCTTGTGATCTGAATTGTGTAGATTGGGTTAAACAAAAAATACCTTGAATCTATATGATAAAAAAAAAAATCAAACACAAACAATCCTCACACCATTGCTGATTGCCACTAGTTCTGAACAAGGGCCATCCACTTAGATGCAGTGTCAGTGTCACTGACACACACATGTCATTATTGTGAGCATGATCTCATTAAATTTGGTAGGGACCTCTCAAATTTTTCAAAAGTGAAATAGGAAACCACCACAGGCTTAATTCTGGAGTATTTTATAACAATACGTTGTGATCATTATATCTACACTTTTATAAAATCTTAAGCTCAAATTCATAAAAGTCCGGCTCTGTCATGGTCTGAGGAATACTGAATGCAAACTGCGCTTAAATTTTGAGGGCTGAAGAGCATGTGGTTTCCTCTAAAAAGTGGCAATACGGTTTGCACTACTAAAATTATACATAAATGAAATATAGATGATACAGAGCTGTTGATAGGTTCATACACACTTTTGTTCTCTACATTATTTTTTTAATTTTTGCCAACTTTGAAGCATGGCTAGGAATGTAAATAGTGTGTGGGAAAATCATATTCAATCCTAAATGGAGTCCAAATTTTTTTTGTCCTTGATGAATGGTTCCCTCTCAATCTTGTCTTTCTTGTATGTATCTGACCAGGAGAGTTGTTTGTTATATGAACATTGGATGGTTGGAGGACGCCATGGGTTGGTCTTACTTCTTTTATTTTCCTGTGTTGTTCCTGTTTGTCTTGCTTTTCCGGCACCAAATGACTGTTATTTTGTCACTGTGCTTTTCTTTACTCAAACAAAAACAGCAAGTAGCATATTATTGTACCTTTTATTTCATGGCCTAATCTGTGCAGGTGCCAGGATCCATCTCAGTGTGGGTGAAGAAACTGGCCTTGCCCAAACCTGGCACTGTTGCCATTGGCATTTTGAACAAGGATGATGCAGGTGTTCCTGTCAAGTACAAGACCTCCTTCCAGGACCTGGGCTTTACTAACAAGGGTGGCTACAGTGTAACCGAGGCCTTCGAGAACAAACCAATGGGCTCTTTCGCCCTGTCCCAGGCGTTCACCATCAGCGTCGACCCCACTAGTCTTTTCATGATGATTGCCCAGCCCCGCCCTTGATAGGCGTACCTGGTGATCCTGTTTGAGGTGAAACAGCATCAAAGTGTGGCAAATTTTTTACATTTTATACATTTTATGTCTCGATTTTTATGTTTTACCATGTACTTTCTTGAATAAATACTTTGACAATTCCTAGTTATTAAAAAAAATTAAAGTTGTGATATAACAAGTTTGTATTTCAATACATTGTAAGACTCAGTATTATAGTAATGTTTACATTCTATGAACAGGGTCAAGTGAATGTGTGTATTGTCTCAATCACAATTATTTTCCTACTTTCATGTATATGGGAAAATTTTGATGTGTGTTTCTCAAATTTCAATAACAGTTCATACTTTTTCCTGAAGCAAATCACCTCAGTGAATACAATTTTGGATTCAAGAATGATTAAAAAATTTTTTTATGCCTTTGCCAAGCAACCGAAGACAGACAATTGAGATGATGGTAGTGAAAGAGTTTGTAAAATTTGTGCACATAAATGGTCATTATGTTGAGATACAACGTCTGGCATCATCGGGCAAAAGACAACTGGGGCCTTGGTTGTGAAACCTGAAAGCTGAGTCTTTTGACTCTGTAAAAATTGTTGCCTTTGTTGCATATGGACAGCTATGCTTTGGGTCTCGAAATGCTTTAGTTCTATGCAATGTGGACATGAAAATGGTACCAACTTTGTGATGGGACTTCAGATGACTTCTTTAGAGCAAGCCTACTCAGCCTCAGGTGGTTACTTTGAGGGCTAGGGCCTACTATACAATTGTCTTCTGCTTGGATAATTTTGTTTGTTCCTTACTTTCTTGGTGAAACAAAACTTAGAGACATGCAGAATTCTTTTTCCCTTTCCATTTTGACTTTGAGGGAAAAGTCAACCAGAACAAACATCTGGCCTCTTCTTTGTGCATTTCTAGTTATTTCTCTGCACATGTATATCCAGTAATGCTCTGTTCTCAGGGTGAGAAATTTGCTTGGTTCATTCTATTAATTTCTGTGTAACAATTTCTGTGTAACAATTTCTGTGTAACAATTTCTGTGTAACAATTTCTGTACAGCATTTCAGGTTGTTCTTATACTTGTCAAACTTTATTCCTCATTTGTTATTTCCAATGAAGGCTGATGTAGTTAATCACTGCAGGCTTTTCATCGGAAATGTTGGTCTTTTTGACCAGAGTTCCTCTTCTTCATTTATTGTGAAATGTCTGGTAATGGCAAAGTTTTTTTGTTTACCTTTGAAATCACTTTAAAAAAAATCCTTTTCCGGTAAAAAAAAAATATTTGATAGTATTTGTTGATTCCATTCTCAGGAAGAAGCCAGAAGTAGAAAATATTGTCTCGGCTGTTTAGATTGTGTAAATTATATAAGACTGTGTCACAATTTTATTGTTCTCATTTCTGTTACCGGGTACTGGTATGTTGGCAAGTAATATTATTCAGAGCTTTTCATGCTTTTTTCTTTATGGGCACAATGTCTGGAGGTTGGTACAAATCAAATTAGTTTTTTTTTCAGTAGTGTCTTGATAATTTAACCTTTCCAGTGATCAGAATTTTGATCTGAATTTTCTCTTCTCACTCTTCTAATCATGGTCAGCACATGATACCCAGTGAAATAACTTGATGTAACCTGCTCTGCTCTAATGGTAATTTGAGAGTAGATCTTTAAAGAAGGAAAATCAGTTTTGATGAATAAGTCTTCATAATAAATTTCCAATGATTATAGAAACTAGTATCATCTTTCTTTTCTATGAATGGTTTTTGTTACTGACGATCTACGATGAAAAAACCCCCAGCAAAAAGAACCCCCAACATACCACTGTCAGTTATCCTTGGTGGGGAATTAGGTTACCACGGTATGTTTGGTCGAGGCAAGCATGGAATCATTCAGAGGTTATTTTAATGCTGCATCAAAATGTGCAATAGCACATTAACAGAGATAATCATACCAACTGGTCATTGCTGTTCTTCCCAGTGCTGTCCCCTGGGTTTTTTGAAAGCTAGAGTTATCATGATTTTGCTGAAGAAACGACCCCAGTCACCAAACGCATGAAGGCCATGTCATGGACAGTACTTTCATTATGTATTTCTATAATCGGTGGGATAGTGATACTATTATAACTATAATTTTAAGTTCTTTTGATGATCTCATTTTGTATTGATGACTGGTGTTATCCTGGACAAGAAGGCCTTTTTGCTTCTTTACATTCCATAATAATACTCGGACATAATGGTACTGTTAATATGTCTATTGTTTAAGAAAAGAATTTTGCTATGTACTTAGTTGGGGCATCTGACTATCCATGCATGCATACATTTTTAATATATAAATTTGTGCATAGAAAAATAGATGAACTATATCCATCTGGGTAAAACGATTTTGTCCAGTCATATTTACAAAGTAAGTAAATGTTATGTTTAAGTGATACATTTCATATTAAACTAATAATAGAATGCCTTTCCAATCAGCAGTGAGATGTGTCTTTGCTAAAACAAAACTACTTTTTTTCAGTACAATAATCATCAGCTCTGTAACATCCCTCACTGTAACATGTGTGACCTCTTCGGGCCGACTTGTTTACCAAAGTTTATGACTTGATTAGTAACATGTTCTGCAAAATATTGATCAATCGTCCACCATCATCATTATCTCTAGGATCTTTTAAACGAGTCTTCAAATCCAAATTTCTCCTGAGTGCTCTTGACTGGCACATAAAAAATTAACCGAAGACTTATGTCTGTAGTTTGCCATCCAGTCATTGACATTGTTGTGGAGCACCGTGACTGAATGAGAGTACTAGTTGATAGTACTGATAGGCCTACTGTGTGTACTTTTGTTGTGCGTTTAGAAAAAAAAAGAACAATAACATTGTTGGTTTGCTCGTCTTTTTTCCCTGTCCACCACTTTTGGTTCGAAGAGGAACACGAGGCTACGTAAATTTAATTCCAATGATGTTAATTAGAAAGTCGACTCAGACTTTGACAGGTGTCTTTGTGCGTTTTGGCTATAGAATTAAAATCAGTGGTTCAATTTTTGGCTCATTCTTTCCTGACCGGGAGGATTGGTATTTGGTTCTTTTAATCAATTATTTCTCATAATTTTCATCTCCTTAAGGGGATTGTATTATTTATATATTTATTTTTACTGGTATCCATGACAATGTCACTTTGACTTTGTATTAGAAGTATTCTAATTTGATCAGTGAAACAAAAATACTCCCGTTTTAGTTTTATGTTTTTGCCTTCTTCCCTCATTTTTTAAATTTTGCTTTGACTTTAATTTACCTGAAAAAATAAAGGTATTTTTAGTTAAGAAAAATATTGTATTTTTGTTGTTGCTTGGGGTTATATTTGTATGTTCATGTCATGTTGCATCAGTGCAATTTCAAGTGGAACCTTTAGAGTCATGTCTAAGAGCAAATACATCTTAGCCATGCTCTCATACAGTTACATATGTACACTCCCAGCGACTCAAACTATGGCAACTGGCATCTGTGGTGTCATTTTTAGGTTTAGGCTCCTCACTGTTGAATGCAGTGGATGTGAGTTCAGTTCCCTAATGTGGACGTTATTTTGGCCACACCTGTCTGCTGTGATGATGTACCCCACTCAGCCAGGATTAAAGGGAAAAAAAGATTAGAGTTAGACTACATATCATGTACATATCATGTACACAATAAAAGTGGTGACGTGAGCTCTGTCTCGTACTCAAAAGTAGAGTGCATCAGCAACAAGTTGTGAAAAGCCTTGGAATTAAAAGTGAAGCAAAAAGTCTAGCTTTTGCGTGTGGACGGTGTTAATTTAAGTTTATGCAGATTGGTCAAGTTTTACAGTGGGCACCACTTGTAACAGTCTTGGTCATAACACAGGATTTTGGCTATAGCAGGCTTATAATAACTTATAATAAATCCTAGAGTCCGGTCTCTTATTTATAAAGTAGAGTAAAAAAATATATTTTATATCCGCCATTTGGACAAGCATGCCTGGCTAAGACAGTGGTCCGACCATCGACATATTATTTCTAAAACAAACAGACAAGAATGCTGAAAAAAGATGAAGCTAAACAACTGCCAACATTGCACCTATGTATTCCTATGAGACTCCCGAAGTAGGCGTAAGTTGATTGTATACACATTTCATGATGTGTCATGCCATGTGTGCAGGAAAGAGAGAGGGAAAGCTGGTTTGGTTGCATGTTGGTGTCGAATTGAATGTTGATGGAAATCCAGTCAGTGACATAGCAGGACCTTGGTGTAGTACATCATAGTCACATTGTCTTCCCGTTGGGTGACAAGACTTGTTACGGGAATATGATTAAAAGAAAATGAAAAGTAGGCCCAGGGTGCTCGATCTACTGCAGATATTGTGCTCTTTTTCTCCAATGTGCTATTTACTAATGTATCAGATTACGAATAGTTGTAAAGCGCACAGATTCTTTAGCGTAGAGTTTGAAAATGTGCTACGTAAATTTATGCAAGTACTGATAGGCTATTATTAATATTATCATTATTAACTGTGTCTCAAATTAAGTCTAGTCAACCTCTATCCATGAGACTTAACATGCTTGAAGAAAGAAGATAAAGATGAGGAGATCACTGGATAAAGAAGTAGCAATGACTGATAAATTGTTAGTAGGCCCTAGGTTATCTAAGTGATCCAATTGAATTGGTATTAGTTAGGGTATGTAAACTTAATGAACTTCGTCTATAACAATAACACGGGCATCACATCATGATCAATTTGAGCAGCCCTGTTATTGCCAGGACCCACAGGAACTGTAATGTTTAGGTGGTGGGAGTATGGTTTGTAAGTCAGTTGATGGTGCCAACACAAGGTAGCCATCTTTGTAGGCAGAATCATCATCGTCCAGTCTTAATTACTCTCCCAGCTCATCCACTGTCGTATTGATGCTTTTTCACTGCACCTAATAAGAGACTAGACTCTGGGATTAATTATAAGTCTGCTATAGCCGGAATCCTGTTATAACCGACTGTTATAAGTGGGGCCCAGTACACAAATAGTTGTAAAATGCACAGAGCAAGCTGTAGACTCTTAAGCCTATTGCATGAAAATATGCTAAGTAAGTGCTATATATTATTGTTATTATTATTATTAATACACACATGTACATACATGTATTATTATCACCTGTGTTTGCCAAATTATGCCTAGTCAACCTCATTGATACTAAGAAGACACTTGAAGATAGAAGATAAAGATGAGCAGCAAAAATAAAATTCAATGGACAAGAAAGGAGCAATGACTGATAAAATGTCAGTAGGTTATCTATGCACATTGTATGTAGTAGTAGGCCTACAAGTCTTTAAAATACTATGTTTGGGTATTTACATTTACAGCACATCTTAGAAACCGAAACCCCTAGATCTTCTTGTTTTGGCAAGTGTTTTACAGCGTTTGCAAACAGCATAAGGTAGTGTGAGCTCGTGGCACACATTGATTGAACATTTTCAGTTTGTTAGGAATCAATTTTCAATTTTGCCTGGGTGGCTGCCGAAGCCGAGGGCTGCTCTTCTTATAGATTTTGGACCACCAAGGGATATTTAACATTCACAACTTGCACACTGACCCGCTGAGATTTTTTGCCCTTATTCAAGAACTTAATTTAAGAAGGCTAGGTGTTAATTTATGTACCCTAAGATCAGGGGTGTGATTGAAAGTAGCGATAAGAAGAAGCCAAGGAGTTGTAGTAAGCCTAGAAAGGCTGCAGAAAGAGTCAGGAGCCCAGAGGAGGGGTGAGGGGGCAGAAAATGGTGTCTGTTTTTCATTTTCTATTGGGCATTGTTCCAGTATGTGGCTGTGGTAAAGATATCCAGGTTCAGCTAATCACAACAAAAAAAAGCTGTAACTTTGGGAACAATTTTATCTTTTTATAAATAATGAAAAGTGACATGCAAATTCAGAAGTAAATATAGATTAGATTGAATAAATTATACATAAAAAAATGTCCTTAGTAATTTATGTTTCTACTTTGTTGGTGATTCTCTAAAATTTGACATTTTTTTTGCAGTTTGTTTTCGTCAGAGTTGTTTTACCTCACTGAATTATAATACAGTTGATATTTTGGCCGAGCAGTTTACTTTTTCTGATTTAACATACATTTCCTTTTCAAATGAGGTATACTTAAAAATAAATTTGGTGAGAAATTAGAGCCCACTATGTAGCCCCACTATTTAATCAATTTTGACTGACCAAAATCAAATTCTGTTCAAGTGCCACACAAAAATTGGAGACAGTAGACAGTGTGTCGAAACCCCCTCCCCCCTTAGTACCCTAGGTCTTTTAAAATGAGATAAAAACTAACTACTACTATTGATACATGAATTGTAGACTTTTTCTGCTTGTGTCCTTGAGTTTCTTCATCCTTAACGAAGCAGTCACTCAGTTGTTATTCATGATGATGAGCAATTATGTTTACATATGATAAGATAAGACAAGATACATCTTTATTGTCCAGATCTTGGCACATTGATTTGGTGTTTCACCACGTACACACACACACACACACACACACACACACAAACATGCACACACACACAGGCATACAGTCACATGCATTTAATATAAATGAACAGTAAAATATAAACGACTAGCTGGGCCCCCGTTCGATGAACGGATTGAGACAGAAGCGTGTTGATTGTTCCCAGTGGCAAGAAAAAGAATTTGACAAAGGAGTCCAGAAAAAGCAATGATTGGCATCAAACGAAAGGATCACAGTCGAATTTAGCACCAAGTAAAAAAAGAAAACATGAGGCTAGATCTATACGGGTCGCACACTTAAAATAGTGCTCAGTATTGCGCGGCAATGCGTGATAGTATCGAACGGAAGAACAACTTGAAATAAACAAACCTGGCGGATTTTCTAAAATTTAATTACAAAGACAGAAACGTCGGCCCACAAAGGCGATCGGCGAAATAAAGAAATTTAGCTTTTTTCAGCTAAACTGTCTCAAAACTGGGAAAAAAAGGGCGCCATGATCTGGAGAATATCTTAAAGAATCTTTTGTTGAAAACCGCCTATCGATCGATGCAGCCATTAAAAAGTCTTTTGAATAGCAAATTTTGGCCACAACAAATAGATAATAGATAATAACGTTAAGCTAGATACATATTCAGTATACTGATTGTAACTCAATGTTATTCTGATGCATGCTCTAACTAAGGTCATACGAATACTTGTAACAAAACGGTTAAGAATATTAAGATGAAAGAACTTTGATGGATGCTGGTAAAAATGACCTTCTGTATCTTTCTTCGTTACAGATCAGAAGCCAAGGTCTTTTTTTCTCTACATTTTAAAAATCATATTTTACATTTACATAGCTCTCTGATTATTTGAAGACAAGGTTACTCTTTGTCTCCACATTATAAATGTCTTGGCTATGGTCCCAAATCGACTGATATAACTTTGTGCCTACTGTTCACAAATCAGAATTGCTGGAACCAAAAGAGAAGCCCACAAGCTGCGCACATCAACAAGTGAAAGTGAAACTTTTGAATGTTCAAAATGTGGCAACCTTTCCTCTGCCACAATGGGGTGGGTCTCATTGTCATGACAAGCCACAATTCATCTTAACCTAAGTTGTTGTTGTTGTTATCTATCCATGAACAGCAGGGCTCTCTCCCTTCTATCCAATGCCATGTGAATGTGATAAGTGCAGGTTTGCTGCAGTTGCTATCTTAACCTATAACTCTTCTATGTCTCTTGAGAAATATTCTCCGCAGATGCATTGGTCATTGCCAGTCTGACGGACACACTATTATCACCATTATTGTTTCTACTTACGTGACTGGGCGGAACTTCTGAAGTGTGTTTCAGATTTTACAAAACTTATAAAATGTTCAGGTTCTTCCACCCCTAAATTTTTTGAAACCTTGCGAGTTAATATTTCAGGAATTAAACAGGCTGTGGATTTGATCTTTGGAACGGAGATGGCCACAATCGCCTTTTCAAAAGTACATAATTTTCAACAAGACAAACAATCCTCAAAGGCTAGATCTCTGAAACAAGACGTAAACTAGATTGTGGAAAATCTGTGGAAAGATCCTGTATAACTAACTGTCACCAATGTCATGACTCTCACCTTCCTGGTTAAAAAATGGACCTATCTAATGTGTTTGGATCAAGAACTTGGTTCTAACCTTTGTTATACAAGTAATTAGTCGTAAATATAAAAAGAACAATAAGCACAGGATTTGGAGATTTTGTTTAAAAAAACCAGTTTATTCAAAAATGGGATGACTCAATGTGGAGGAAAGATGATTTCATATGGTATTCAATTCAAGCTACTTGATATAAATTACAGCAAGGTGAGGCTTTAAAATATAATTGGAAAACATTGAATACGAAAAAAAAAGGAGAGTAGATCAGATGTAAATCATTGGCTCCTGCTACACAGAGAAATCTTTTGCTTCAAAGTTACCATTTAGGATTGCTTGATGACTCTCAAAATACCAGTCCTAAAAATATAGGAAGCATAAGTTCAAAGGTTCCTTTTTTAATAAGAATCCTACCTAACTGAAATAAAATATTTTATGGCCTTTCTTTCTTAGACCTGCATGTTTGCCGACAATCGTCTGAAATCCGACAATCGCGACCCGACCCGCGAACCGGCCG